GGGCAATAAATTTAAAAGGCAAGAAAATATCAGAGAGTCGAAAGTGCCATGCAGAGAATTTAAACCAGGTGATATGTTAGACGGTGGCTCCCCAGGTTGTTTATTCAGGCCCTCAGAGGGCCTCTGAGGATGTGGCGTTTAAGCCAAAATATGGAGACTGATCCAACAACAGTCAGTGAGAAAGAATTTCACGCAGTGGGAAGAGCAAGTGCAAAGATCCAAAGATGGGAATGAAGAGCAGTTTGGTTGGATGGGAGTGAGAGGGAGAATCGTGTGAAATGAAGCTGGAAGGTAGGCTCGGGCCAGATCCCATAGGTTTCATAAGCCAGGGAAAGGAGTTTGGATTTCATTCCAACTGTGATGGGAGCCATTGGATGGCTGTGAACAGGGAGTGATATAATTGGACTGAAATTTGTAAAGGTGTCTCCTGGCTGTCTTACCCCTCTCTTTACTGATACTGGGCATGGCTGGCCCTGCATGCTGAGGTATTTATTGTCTTTGGAGTAAGCCATCCTATACAGCTGCCACACAGAAAGAAGTGCTCAGAAGACAAAGAGGCCATCACGTTCTGATCTGAAAAACCCACAGTTCTTTCACCCTTTGTGCTTTTAAGAGGTAACCAGATAAAAGCAAGGATTAAGCAAGAAGTTGACCACCTGCCCTGGAAATCGAAAACCAAGAAAGATGGTATCAGGGCTGTGGTGAACATAAAATTGGGTCCCACCTTCCAGCGCCCTGTTTTTCAGGAGTCCACTGTGCTCTCCTAGTCATTGCCATACTCCAGAAAGAACTGAAGTGTTACCTTGGCTGAGCAGTAGATATGCTAGGTTAACTTTCTGGATATACCACAGACTAGATGTCAAGAAGACCTAACCCATAGATGGTGAGTCTGCCATCTTAGAGTCCCTTCTAGGAGATATGTCTCAGGATATCAATTTATCTCTGGGGACCGATGAAAATTGTACCCAGCGTGGTTTCTGGGTTCTGAAGTTAATGCTATGTGTTTCAAAATAACCCCACAGCCCAGTGACATTAAGATAAGCATCTTTCCTAATATTTCATGGTGATGAAGATTTCTGTTCCATTTGGAGGCTATCGATGTATATACCACATGGGGCAGGGAATCAGAAACCCTAGGTTCTGACCTCAGCTCTGCCACCAGTGGGTTGTGTTTAAATTTGGGGAAAGCATTTTGAACCTTAGTCTTCTCGTCTCTGAAGGAAGGAACTAGAACTGACTTCAACTTGGATCCTTCTTAGCTCTCACATTTGATTGTCCATATACCATCATCCTGATTTTCTGGCAGCCCATGTTTGTGAGATGGCAGGGCTAAAGGCAGAGGCATCTGGTCTACCCTGTAGCTGATTGGACGCCACAGGAATTAAGCCTACACCTTTGCCATCTTTAGCACTATTTCATTATCAGTTGAACCAGCCACCTCTGCAGTTAGGAAGAGCACAGCTTTTCAGTGAGTCTTCCCCACCAAACTATATACTCTGATAATAATGTAGTTACTAGATTTTATTGAATGTTCACCTTATATCATTCCATCCTCGTAATTTAATGCAGGAAACTGAACCTTGGATAAGTTAACTAATTTGCCTAAGGACACAGGTGGAGCATACCAGGCTCAAACTCGGGCTGACTCCAAAGCCCACGCAGGAATTGAGCCGCCACACTCCAGCATCATTACTTACTTATCTTACCGCACTCCACAATAATGTGTCAAGGTATTTGACAGTTATTACTAGTTGCTCAATAAGTCATTTTTGAACAAATAAATGTTTAATGCTCTGTGAACTTGCCTTCAGCATTTACCCATGCTGCTTTGGAGAAGCGATATAACCTTGCTAACCAGAAAGCTTACCCACGCGACTTAGACTTTGTGCGGAATTGCCCATGAGACCAGCTCCTGTAATCAGAACCTAATCTATGTGGTGGTTAATTTTATGAATCAACTTGAATGGGCTGAGGGATGCCCAGATAGCTAATAAGACATTATTTCTGGGTGTATCCGTGAGGGTATTTCCAGAATAGAACAGACTGAGTAAAAAAGACCATCCACACAAATGCAAGTGAGTGTTCTACTGAGTGTCTGAATAGAAAAAAAGTTGGAGGGGCGCCTGGGTGGCTCAGTTGGTTAAGCGACTGCCTTCGGCTCAGGTCACGATCCTGGAGTCCCAGGATCGAGCCCCACATCGGGCTCCCTGCTTGGCAGGGGGTCTGCTTCTCCCTCTGACCCTCCCCCCTCTCATGTGCTCTCTCTCAAATAAATAAATAAAATCTTTAAAAAAAAAAAAGAAAGAAAGAAAGAAAGTTGGAGGAATGGTGACTTTGTCTCTTACTTGAGGCAGGATGTCCACCTCTTCTGACCCTTCAGGGTGCCATCAGCACTCCTGGTTCTCGAACCTTCAGACTCAGACTGAGACTTACACCGTCAGTTCCCCCTGGTTCTCAGCCATTTGGACTTGGACCAAATTATCCCACTGGCTTTCCTGGTTCTCCAGGGAAAATACATATATTTCCAGGCTATCCTATTGGCTCTGCTTCTCTAGAGAACTCTAATATAAGCTATACAGGACTTAGGTGCTTAAACTACATAAATGGTTCTTGCCATTCTGCCATTAGGCACATCTCCCTAACAGTTTAGCCATCTGGGGGAGCAGTGGTTCCCAACTTGAAGGATGGGGTGGAAAAAACACATGGGAACCACTTGAGGAGCTTTTTCAAATTACAGAGGTTCCACCTGCAGCACCTCCCCTCCCCCCCACCAAAAAAAACCTCCTGGTCTTATGTGGGTAGGGGAGACCATGTCTAGTTTGACGCAAGTTCCCAGGTGCTTCTGATAGGTCTCCCCATGCATGTCCACCACCCCCAACCTTACGTATACAACTCCATTTAGTGAAAGTCATTTTATCATTTCATCTAAATAAAAGCTAATCTTCTTAAAACCTCAATTAAACGACAAGGATTTGTGTGACTCGAACATAAAGACACCCAGACTTCCAACTGTATTATTTATTCAGTAAGTCTCCTCAGCACTTTACAGATTGGTTTTGACTGAAGTTGTCTTACATATTTATGTTTCATTGTATTTTGTTCAAAATCCGACTTCTAGAGCATAGTACACATCTTGCATTCAAATTTTATTAATGCATAATAAATGTCTTAGAGCATCACTGTGCCAAAGAACAATGATGGAAATATTCTGTATCTGCTCTGTCCAATATGTGCCCTACACACATGTGGTTTTCGAGCCCTTGAAATGTGGTTGAAGAGACTGAGGAACTAGATTTTTAATTGAATTTCATTTTAATTAAATTTAAAGTCACGTGTGTTCAGCGGCTACCGTGCTGGAAGGTGCAAGTACAAAAAAACAGCCTTTCTTTTTTTTTTTTTTTTTGACCAAAATAATGTAGAACTGAGACCCATCCAGTTTTTTGTAAGTTGCTGTCCATAAAATCCAAACAAAAACAACAACAACTGTAAGAGCCAAGAAGAAATTCTAGCATGCTTACGTGCGCCACTGGGGGATGAATTCTTAAGAGAATTCTGACCCAGGAGTGGATGAAAGCAGGTAGGCAGGAAGAGACATTCCCAAGGGGAGGTCCCTGGCAAATTCCTTGTCGTCTGTGAGACACGGAGCAGAGAGAGCTTGTCAAGGAGAGAGTAATTCCCCCGTAGAGGAAAATCTAAATGTGTTTTTAGCCACCTGTCACCCCAGAGGGAGGACAGGATGGCAATGTTAAACTGGCAAGATTGTAAAACACGGAAGTTAACTACCATACAAGGCCAGCTGAGGTGTTTAAAGTGCATTTTAACTGGTAGGACTTAATTCCCGAAATCTAGACAGTGGCTGATGCCGGTGGATGGCAGACTGCAGACCTTTTATCTCTTTCTTTCTACAAAACTAGCATTTTCAATAAAAATACCATTCCACGAAGGCAGGATTGGGCTGGATTTTCAACTAAAGCAAATATTAAGAAAATCACAAAGGACCCGGGATTCAGTGAGAGAGATCAGATGACGAGGTAACAGGACACACAAGCTCCATTCAAAATTGTGAACTAAACAACATCCATTCTGTGCAAAAGGTAGCTACCACAGGAGCAAAGGTGGGAAGGAACATAAACCAGAGGAGAAGTTCATTAATGGGCCCAGAGAAGAGAACAAGAGATGGATTCTGAACTAGGACAGTGTTACTCGAACTGAATTTCAGGGACATATTCTTGCGAGGAGGTGGAGGTCACTGGGTTTAGTAAGGATGTTTAGGTTTTATGCTTTCATTTTACCAAATATAAAGATATAACTTGTCTTTCTTCAGTGACAGTTCCCAATTGAAAATTATGTTCAAAGGATGAGATTTTAGCTTTCTTTTTTTTAATTTTATTATGTTATATTAATGACCATACATTACATCATTAGTTTTTGATGTAGTGTTCCGTGATTCATTGTTTGTGTATAACACCCAGTGCTCTATGCAGTACGTGCCCCCCTAATACCCATCACCAGGATCACCCATCCCCCTCCACTCCCTCCCCTCTAGAACCCTCAGTTTGTTTCTCAGAGTCCATAGTCTTTCATGGTTCGTCTCCCCCTCTGATCCCCCCCCTTCATTTTTCCCTTCTTACTATCTTTTTTTTAAACATATAATGTATTATTTGTTTCAGAGGTACAGATCTGTGATTCAACAGTCTTGCACAATTCACAGCGCTCACCATAGTACATACCCTCCCAATGTCTATCACCCAGCCACCCCATCCCTCCCACCCCACCCCCCACTCCAGCAACCCTCAGTTTGTTTCCTGAGATTAAGAATTCCTCATATCAGTGAGGTCATATGATACATGTCTTTCTCTGATTGACTTATTTCACTTAGCATAATACCTGCTAGTTCCAACCACGTCGTTGCAAATGGCAAGATTTCATTTTGGTCTGCCTTTAGGTCACTGATCCCCAAATCTGAATAAACGGTCATATTTGGGGATCAGTGACCTAAAGGCAGACCATACGCACCATTTGATTTTATTCTTATTGGAGGAATGAAAGCAGCTTCCTAACTTTGCCCTTAGCTTATGAAGAGACTAAACCTTTCTAAACTCATCAGGGCAGGCTGGGCATAGTGCTCATATTTTACTCCTTTAATGGATGTTATTGCTTAGAAAATTACGTTCTTCTCTTGCAACTGGGGAACAGCATGGCTCGGTCATCTGGATCATGAGTCGGGGGTCCACCAGTAACCCTGACTCTCCAGCAGGCTGAGACGCTGGTCCTCTGGGGGCCTCATAGCCTTATCTGTAAAACAAAGCAGCAGACTGGGCCATTAATTACCAAGGTCATGTCCAGCCTAGATTTCTGACTCCAACCATAAATTACAGCACCATCTTATATCTCTCCTCTGAAAGACCTCTCAACTAAAAATCATCTTCACTAAGGCTCTGTTTCATATCTGTTCTTTTCATTGCTACCCTCCACCACTGAGCACTGAAGGCCCAGGAGGTGATGCATTTGAAGGAAAATCAGTCAACACCCAGCTTTCCACCTATTATCTGCTACCACCTAGGAAGTGAGAAATTAAACTATCGAACCTGGACTCCCGGGGCTTAGTGCAAATCACCCAGATGTAAAAGAAATACTCAGAGGGACATTTGGGGTTTTTATAAAATTTCTAATGAACAAGACAGCTGTTCACTCAAGTGTGAGTAAATCAAGTGGAAACATAAAGGTTATGACCGCTTTTGTGTTTTGAGTATTATAGAAAAAATTATGTAATGAGTAGAATCTCAGGCTGTTAGTTGATCTGCCACTGTTAAGAGTGACTGATGAATTTGGTGAGCCCTCTGAACAGTAAACGCTGTCCAGTAGGACCAGTGATGGTACAAGGCCTGTCTGGGTCTGTAGTAGAGAAGGGCATGCTTGGAACTACCAAGCCAGAGCTGCCTTGTGGTAGGGGTAATGCTATTCCCTTTCTCTGAGAAGTCCTCTCCCACTCTAGGGAAGGATGCACACGAAGTATGTCCCATTGCTTCGGCCTTGATTGGAACATGATACCTATGGCCTGGGGGATAATTCTCAGGGGTCAGAGGGATCCAGAAGTTTGTCTTGAGACTTGAGTATATAACTAAAGCAAAGAACATCAGAATACTCTAAAAATGACTTCATTTGGTGATAGAACCCATTGTTTTGGCCTTTTCCCTACGCGGGCTACCCACTTAAATGTAGCCTGACAACTGACGCCTGGGTGTATCAGTACTGCCTTGGAGAGGGTGAGGCCCTGGGACCCCGAGTGGAGCTTAGAAGCTATGGCCATTGGGTCATACTAAAGCTCACACTGCAGGGCACTGGTGGCCCGGCCAGCTTCTCTGCATCAAGGGCTCCAGCCCTCCAGATGTGGTCCTGTGGCCTGATGGGCTCCTTGACCCTCCCAGAAACATGACATTGCTTGTCCCATCAACCAGAAAAACGTGACCGTCTCTATCTCTTCTGCTAAAATAGTGACATTCCAGACAGTATAGAATGAAAGCCTTCTAGTGCAAGAGAATGACTTATTGGAAATGATTCCCTTGGAGATCATCTTGTGTTTCCCATCCTAGTTATAATTTGGCTAATTGCTTAATAATTCTGTTTAAATGTCTCCATTTCTGCAAACATCAATTCATTAGGTCTACTTTTCCTGGTTGGAAATCTCTTTGCTTCTCTGAATATCCTCGGCCCCTTTCTCGCATTTGCACTTTTGCTCAAGCAACATTCTGATGACATAGCTTCCCTTCGCAAAGGTGTTGAACAGATCAAGGTGTCTCTCTGCGTTCCAGAGCCCGAGCACTGTAACCTGTGTCCTTGAAACGATGCCTGTGATTGGGAAAAATCTCAGACTGTGTTTTGAAAAAGCCAGCTTCCCTGCCAAACCAAGCTGCAATCACCAGCAGCCCTAACCCCCTCCTGCAGCGGGGGGCATGCCATCCGGCAGGGTGAGAGGCTGCCCGAGACAGGAAAACCCAGGTCCAACCTTGAGGAGCCTGCAGCTCACCCGGCAGCTGGAGAATTCAACTCTGGGGTACCCTTGCACATAAGAATAGTATCCACGTTAAAACTCTGCTTCAAGCAGGAGCCTTCTCAAGCACACCCATCCGTGGTGGGGCACCATGGATACACACACACACACACACACACACACACATGCCCTGCACGTAGCTGGAAGCTGAACACCCTGGAGGTGTCTGTGCTTCATGGCAGGGGATGGGGAGGGGGGTGGGGAGCATGCTACCCATGGGGGCAGCCTGTGACTCACCTTTTCTGGCAAAGGTCAGTTAGGTGAAACAGACGCAGACATGTTCCTTATTATTCGCTCCCTCTGTCCCCTACCAGCTGAAAACTTCCAATGTTGCTTTTCCTTTTTGCTTTGAACAATTGAGCACCCGCCCATCCAACTGTACCCACCACATCACTTCGTCTAGATGCTCCCATTCCTAAAGGAGCCATCACAATCCCCCACACCTTGGAGAAAGTGGGAAAACTTAGAGTGACAGAGGAGGAACCTGAAGCTTCCCCCTGGGAAACTTTCTGGGACCCGTGATGAATAAGAAGTGACATAGGCAGCAAGCAAAAGAAGGAAGCAGGAAGAGCGCCTGCATCCCATTCTTTCCCGCGGGACAACAATATCCTGCCGAGTGAGCTCAGAGCTGACAGAATGGTTCTGGGAAGGAAGGGAGGAGTGAAAGCTGTCCTCCTGCCTGACCCGGTAAACTACTTAGTTCTCGTGACCCTCCCGTCCTTGCACCAGTGCCTTAATTCTGTGCGTGAAGCCAGTTCAAAAACACAAGACACCGTCAGTCCAAAGGGTAATCCCTGATGATGCGTACATGGCCTTGAATTGTCCAACATGAACCGGGCCTCGGGGTTCTAACTGATCTGTGGGTATGCGATTAATTTTTATTTATCTTTCTTTAAAAGCTACTCTGAATTGCTTTGGAATTTGAAATAATGCCCTCAAAGAATTATTGCAACACATGAAACCATTGCCCATCCTGTGCATTTCTAACTTTGTCTGTTTCTCCTGAATGCTTTGATTTGTTTGTTGTTTTTTTCTTATTGAGCATCTAAAATTCTCTGTGAGTCCTTGGCTCTCCATAAATGTTTGATCATCTAGTCTGGGTGGTACTGCCTGAGGAAGCCAAAGGTAAAACTAATGATAACAATGGTATCCAATACTTAGATAATGCTCAGTGGTGGATAGGACTGTTCCAGGTATTTCATGTGTATCATTCATGCCCTCCTCACCACGATCTTATGAGGTAAGTGCTCCTGTTGGACCCATTTTACAGATGAGGAAACTGAGGCCCAGAAAGATAAGACGCTTGCCGGGGTCACACAGCTAACACGTGGCAGAAACAAGATATGAAACCAGGATATGGCCCCCAGAACTCTGCCTTTTGTCACAGTGAACCACCACGTGTGTTTTTCTGCACGCCGTGACCGGGATGGCCAGGAATGACATTGTTACTTTTAATCATGAAAAAAAAGTGCAAGCTCGTCACCTATTTTACCTTTAACCCTTCTGTTTTTCCCTCCCAAACTCTCAGACGATGGAAATGCTTAAAGCAAACTAAGGTAGTGTGAGACCACACCATGTAAGTGTGAGCATGGCTCCTTGTGGGTCCGGCTGTTGTTTTGTGCGCTCCTGCCTACCACCCCCGCATGTTCTCTCCGCTGCTCTCCGCTGACTCCCGCTTTCGCCGCTTGGCGCTTGGGCCGCATGAACCCTCACTTTTAAGCCATAGATCTTCTGTCTCGGTCCTGATTTTGTATGTGTGCTTCTCTCTCCCAAAATCCCCGGCACCTGGCCAAGAGCCAGAGCACGTGAAGCTGTCAGCCTGGCACCTGCCCGGGGAAGGAGCAGGGGACTCCTGGGGAATGCGTTGGGTCCTTGTTCTCTGACAATGAGCCCTCAGATTGTCAGCTTTTAGGATTCTAGGCATGTGTCCACATTCTTGCGGTGACACCAGCCTCACGGTGTGGAAACATCCGTGGGCTTCACCACACTGGTCATGGTCACCAACCGCCCACCTTTGCTGTGTAGGGTCCTTCCGGGGCTGCCAGCCTAAACAGTTTCTTGTTCTGGGAGTCTTCGTAGGCGTGAATGCTATGTGAAAATAAATACCATCGTGCCCCGTGGCAGGGCTAAAATGAGCCAGGGAGAGAAGTAGTAAACTTCTCGCTTATTATTTCTCTCTGTTCGTATGTATATGATGGACACACATACGTATATTAAACATGCGATCATGAAGGAGAAGATAATGGCTTTTAAGCCAAATAATGGGCTCTCTTGGCGCCTCATTCTCACAATGGTGTTTTGGTGCTCCCTGAATCCACATAAACTGTATTTCCACTTTGAGTGAGTTTAGTATGTGATAAACTAGACTGACAGAATAAATAAACTGCAGAGGAGGAATTTGTGCCTGACAAAGAGAATATCTGGAACGTTTAAAATATAACCCCGTCTCACTGTATGGCCTTTCCCACCTGCCAGCGACCTCAGGCCTGGATCGGCTTATTCTCAGTCTCGCTGAAGTTTCAAGTGCGTGTTCAGTGGGCATTAGTAAGGAGGAAAGTTTCCAAGTTAGTTGTCAGAGATGATAAGAACTTAAAATTGGAGGGGCTCTCACAATATGTGTCCCCTCGGTGTTGAGACCCCAACCCGCCATTTAGAAGTGCACAGAATTCTGGAGCTGACAGGTCCTTAGAGATGATGGATCCTTCACTCCAAACCCCTTAATTCACAGAAGATGACTGGAGGGAAAGTAACTTGCCCCAGACGACGGGGCAGAGGCTGGGTTAAATCCCAGTCCTCCTCTTTCCATTGAAGCATCTCACCAGTGTATGGTCCCAGCTCGTTTCTCACTGGGAGAGAACCCCCTGCACAGCCAAAGAGCTTTTTTTTTTTTTAAGTGAATGAAAGTGAAGGAGCTGACATCCCAAGAAAAGACTCTGGTCCCAGTCCTGGCTGTGCCATAAACATCTGGGTGAGCTTGGGGAAGTTACTGTGCCTCTCTGGACCTCAGGCTTCTCACCTGTAAAACGAGTGTGAGAACAGCTGATTTCACTAAGTATGTAATGCTAATTTGCTCACGAACCTCCAGCTGCTTTCATGCGGGTCCTCCCAGCCATGTTCATTTCCCACTACAGAATTATGAAGAAAGTTCAGTCGGGCTGTACAAACCCGAGCAAGAGCCCCGTGAGTCTCTGTTACCAACTGAAGGGGGACAAAGGAAGGAGGGAGAAGGTGTGGGTGAGAAGCAAGCAGCCTGCCCTCCTCACACGGTCCCAAGAAACCAAGGGAGATGCAGCAAACTCCAGACTTGGTCATCTCCGATTTCTGCCGTTTGGGGCTAGCTAGCTGATGTCTATTTTTCTCCATCGCAAGATGCCAGGCCCAGTATGTGAACAAGGTTACATTTTCTCTTTCCAGTGTATTGCTTACTGAGTTAACGGGGCTAGGGAAGTCTCTGAGGCAATCCAAGAATAATTGAAAAGCCAACAGACGCCCACAGATGCCACCTTCAGCAAAGTTGTGAGATATAGCCCTTGTTCTCATAAAACTATAGAAATGCAGATATGACGAAATATGCAATGTCATTTTAACAGGGCTTGCTTTTTCCATGGGAAATTCATGGCATTTTTATGATGAATCTTTTTTATGAAGGAAAGAATCGTCACTTGATTTAACAGTTTTGCCCATTTGGGCTTCTGTATATCAAGTTTAGCTTAAAGTGCATCTTTTTTCAAAGTGGCCCCTCTGGTCTGCAGCCGTCTCCCTTGGATCTGCCCCTGATTCAAAGTTGGGTGGGAAGAGCAGGTCAGGATATGGCAGGGATGGGGAGGATCACAGAGGTGGATAATTGCCTGCTCACTTCTTAGGTTCTCATGCTGCTGGACGAAATGTAGCCCTGCATAAAAGCTGTGAGCTCAGAAAGTATCCCTGGGCTAGAATTTCAGCCCCAGGATTTTGGTGGAGCGGGGACTTCAGAGGGCAAATCTGGCTGGAAACCAGGTTGTGTTAGACAACTCATAGAGCTGCATTTGCGTGGTACCTCATCCTGGATTGAAAAATGTCGCTCTACCACGTCCTTTGGAGGGAGCAGCTGTTGAAAATGATGCTAAGAGCCCGCAGGCCCCTTCCTGGGGACCATCATTGCCCTAGTATCCCAGCCCTTCTCCAGAGACAACCATTAGCGCAGTTTGAAGTGGAAAACGCCTCCTTGGGCAGCCACGCAAGACCAGTTGTCCCACTGAGGATACTGGACAGGCAGGCAGAGGTGGTGAGCTCCTCACGCTGCTTTTGCCTTTGCTGGAGAATACAGGGGCCAGTGGGAGAGGCACTTTCCTGGGCTTCTTCCAGGTCCTTCCTGGCCCCTTCCTAAAATAATCGCGGTCCTGCTGAGCCCTCTAGTGGCCGTGTTGGTAACTGCAGGCGTCTGAGCCAGGCGGGGAGGAGCCGCGCGCACCCTGGTGAACCACAGCCGTGCGTGGCCTCGGGGTGTGTGGAGGCCTCAGCCTGCAACACTTTCTATGTATAAAGGGAGCCTCTGTGGCCGGAGACTCCTGAAATACCAGCCCGGAGGCTGGTGGCCCGCCACGTGAACATGTCCCGCAGGCTCCTAGCCTTGTCATGAGAACTCGGCTTTGTTTTGTGCCTCGGTGATTCCAGCTCAGTTGTGGGACCTACGGGAAGTGCTGGATTTGGCCGATCCTTCGCGGCTTGCCCTGGAACAGAGGCCTGTAACTCCACTGTTACCTGAAACCAAGCTGAGCTCCCGAGAGTCTGAAAAGCCAGCCACCAGCAGCCTGACAAACACAGCAGCGCACATTTGCTCCCCAAGGGCCTTGGGTAGACCAGCCTGGCTTGGGGGCCACGCAGCCCTGCTTGGCCTCCCCAGACACTCACACTCACCTCACAGAAAACAAGCCCTCCACCACCACTGCCTCCCACACTCTGATCCGCAGGGCTCCCTGAGAACAGTTAAGTAGGTTACCCTTGATGGACACAAAACTGAATTGTTGTAATTGTTCTCACCCAGTGGTGCTCTCGGACCAGCAACATCAGGATCACTCAGGAACTCAGAAGAAAGGCAGATTCTCAGGCCCTGCCCCAGCCCCGCCAAATCAGAAACTCCGTAAGTGGGGCCCAGCCATCTCCAGGTGATCCTGAGGCCGCCTCAGTAGTTTCAGAACCACTTCAAGCTTCGATTCACAAATGTCAATAGATGCAAGAGTACAAACACTCGCCTTATGTAGAATGTGGATTCTGACCCCTCCCCCCACGGGGATTTAGCAGCTCTGAAGCGGGGATGCAGGGATCTGCTTTTGAAAACATCATTCCGTGTAGTTCTGCTGCGGATGATTCACAGACCACCACTTTGAACGTCTGCTCCAGACCAAGGAGCAGGACCATCTCCTCTAGCACTGGTTAGCTTCCTCTTTTGAATTAGACATCTCGCTGGTCCTGAAAGAGACCTCAGTAAGTGTATCATAGGACTCCAAGTCTTTTGTATTTGGCAAATCTTGTCACAGATTTGTTTTTGCTGCAGCCGTGAGGAGAATCTCGGTGGAATCTGTATCATAATCTGAAATTGAGATCTTTCTCTGGGAAGTGATGTTAATTACTGAGAGACCAGGAAGAAGAGGAAGCCTGTGGCTTCTTAGGACTGGATCTCCGGGGTGGCGTGCCAGGCTTGACCAAGAAGCTGTGTGTCGTCTCTAGGCTGTGAGCCTATCACATAGGGAGTTGCCTTTCTTCTCCCTTCTTGAAGAGCGAGAGAGTTAACGGTGATTTCCCAGTAGGACCCAAGAGGCTAGTTCAGTCTACCATTGTCAGGAAGAAAGCGTTTTCAAAACTTGAGGCTGGGAGTACCCTTGGCTCATGTGGCCTCTGCACTGATCACCCTGGAAACGTAGAATTAATTTCCGTGAAGATTTTTGTGACTGAAATGTCCCAGCTCTCCTCAACCCAGGGCCCTGCTAGGAACTCCAGAGAGGATTTGCCATTGTTCTCTGTCCCATGTCACATTCCCATTTCACCCCCCAGCCCAGTTCCATCCGAGCACCCACACCTTCCCAGGGCACTCATTCTTCAGGAAGTACTGAGATTAATATGCCAAGTCACACTTTCCAGGATGTGCTGAGCCAGGCAAGAGGCTTGGAGCTGAGCTTCCTGGCAGCTAGTTCTCATGGTCATTGTCTGACACCAGCATGCACAGATGTTGTCTGCTTGGGGGCAGCAGCTTGATCAGGTCAAGCTTCTAGTCTTTCCGGTATGTTGGTAGATCAGGCAAAGCGCTGGCTCACTTCCTGCCCGCCTTCCTTCGTTCCCACCTTCCTTCATCTTCTTCCCCTTACCCATCCTCCCATGCTCCCTTTCCCGTATTTTCTCTGCTTCTGTGACTTTCTGCAGCTTTTTCCCTCTCTTTCTCTCCATTCTTCTTGTTGGGCCTCCCTCAATCCTGGAAAGCAGGCGCCCACCCCCCCGCAGGGGCTCAAGGGCCTCTCCAGCGGGCTGGAGCCGCGTGCACCCTGCCAGGCAGGGACCCCCACCTTCACTTCCTATAAAGCACAATTAGGAGATAGACTTCCCATCTGCCCTTGCACAGACGGAGGGAGAGAGAGGGAAGCAAGAAAGAGAAGAGCTGCAAAGGAACACCCAAAAAGAAACCACAAATGGAGTTCAAATTTTAAACTTACTCTGAGTCCAGGAGTGCAGCCCACTCTCCCAGCAGTGGGGGTTGGGTCAAAGCACCAGGCTTAAAACCCTGAGCGGGCGGGGAGAATTGAGGGCAGTGCTGAACGGGGCAGGATCGAGAGAAAAGAAGGCTTTGTCCAAGGAACAAATCCACTCTTCAGAGAGCTGTTTGTGGATCAGGAGGGACCCTGCTGGGAGCGGGAAATGGGCAGGGCTGGCCTTGCTGACAGGGGCATTGACTCTCCTCTGGCTCACTTGCTCTTTGCTCCTGCATGCAGGCCCAGCTCCAAGAGTACACCACTGACCAGGGTAGTCCCATAGGGACCTAAGCTCAGAAGGGCCCCATGCTTGGGGTTTAATGCTGTGCAGCCCCAGGCTTAAAACTATGTTGTGTAAGTGAAGTCTGATGGGGTAGTGGAAGCTTGGAGCATGCAAGGGGCTGCGGAGGCTCAGAGACTGTTTATGGGGCCCTGCTTCCTGCGGCCACGCCCATCAGAAGTTCCCAGCTGGAGGGGGAGGGGGATTTCTCCTCCCACTTTCCTGTCCCCTGGAACCCAAGCCTGCCCAGCCTCCCCTCCTTGGGCCTGGCCAGTGAGCACTGCCACCTTCTGCCCCAGGAAGGGCCTGGGCACAGGTGGGGAAGATCCTGGTTGGGTGCGCCTGTCCTGCAGCATCTTGGGGCGGGGCATAGCAGTGGCCACCTGGGCCCAGGATAGCAGTGCGGCATCTGTCTGGTGGACATCAGGCAGGAGGCCACAACTCAGTGAGGGATGGAGCTGCCGCCCACTCCTGATCCAGGTCCCGAGTCCAGAGATTGCAGTCCCCTGGGGGGTAACTTATCACCATTGGTTGGGGAGACCACCGGTGGGAAGGGGAGATTCCCCAGGCCCTGCTTCAAGCCAGGGAACAATGCATCGGTCCATCAGTGGGTGGGAGGGGTGATACCAGCAGCAATCAGATCCAAGTGGACACACAGGGCAAGGGTTCCCAGCCAGCTCCCTCGAGCCCGCTCTCTACCTGGGGGAACCCTCTCTTCCTTCCCAACCCTCCCGAATCTGTGTTGGTATTTTCCAGCCAGTTCAAGGCATCCTCCTGAGACGAAATACAAATTGCGTGATCTCAGTGATTGTACAAATCAGCTAAATGCTCTGACATTTACATTTAAAACTAGCACAGCACAATGTAAAAATGAATGATGAAATTCATGCTAATAGTTAAAAGGTTTAACTTTATTTCCCTAGAAGGACATTAAATAGCAAATAAAGAGAAGCCTGGGTGGCTAAGTCGGTTAAGCATCTGCCTTCAGCTCAGGTCATGATCCCAGAGTCCCCGCTCCTTGCTCAGCGGGAAGTCTGCTTCTCGCTCTCCTTCTTCCCCTCTCCCCTGCTCATGCTCTCTCTCTCTCTCTCTCAAATAAATAAAATCTTAAATAAATAAATGGCAAATAAAATACACCATGACTAGTGGTGATTGCACAACAGCGTGAATGTATTTAATACCACCAAACTGTACACTTAAAAATGTGCAAAATGTACATGTAACGTATAAATATAAAAACGGTTAAGAGAGCAAATTTGATGTTCTATGTATTTTACAATAAGAAAAGAAAAGTTGAGGGAGCTTGGGTGGCACAGTCGGTTAAGCCTCTGTCTCTGGCTCAGGTCATGATCCCGGGGTCCTGGGATCGAGCCCCGCATCGGGCTCCCTGCTCAGTGGAGAGCCTGCTTCTCCCTCTCCCTCTGCTGCTCCCCCACCCTGCTCTTGCTTGCTCTCTTTCTCTCTCTCAAGTAAATGAATAAAATATTTTTTTAGAAAAAGAGTAAACACAAACACCATGACAAGGGAAGAGAGAGATCACAAGAAAGAAGGAAAAAATCTTCATATTGTAATACCTTTAATGGCACTTTTTCCCACTTTCTGAACAATTTTCATTTAGCCCTGGGCCTGCAAATTTTGCAGCTCATTGCCTGTACCTCAGTCTCCCCTGACTAGGAGATGATCATTAATTCTCACACAGTGTTAAGAGGTGAAATTCTTTTTTTTTTTTTAAGATTTTATTTATTTATTTGAGAGAAAGAGAACACAAACAGGGGGAGCGGCAGAGGGAGAGGGAGAAGCAGACTCCCCGCTGAGTGGGGAGCATTGACGCTCAGTCCCAGGACCCTGAGATCATGACCTGAGCCAAAGGCAGACTCTTAACTGCCTGAGCCACCCAGGCATCCCGAGGTGAAATTCTAATCCTGTGGGGAGAAAAAGTTTCCAGTCTATGACTAAAGGTAATTTCCATCTTAGCATCCATCCGTCTATAGGAGAAAAAAAGGAGGAAATGTAAAACAACAAAGAGATTCTTGTGTTTGGATGAGCACCCAGTCACCTTTTGAGGTGCCCTCGTACATGCACAGGACAGCTGAGGTTCCATGGTGAGGTCAATTCATCATGAGAGCCCCTCTTCAAGAATGTAGCTTCTCAGGGGCGCCTGGGCGGCTCAGTCGGTTAAGCATCTGCCTTCAGCTCAGGTCATGATCCCGGGGTCCTGGGATGGAGCCCTCCCTCTCCCTCTGCTTCTCCCCCTGTTGTGCTCCCTCTCTGTCTCTATCTCAAATAAATAATATCTTTTTTAAAAATGTAGTTTCTCACACTCAACACAACCGTCTGCACTTTCAGCATATTGCAAATGACTTAGGTCATTTATCACCCTCCTGTCTGAAGTCTGGCGCCTCATAAGATAATTAATAAGCTTGTAGCTTCTCATAGCTACGAGAGAGTATAGCAACTTGGCCCTTCCTTCCAGGTTAAGAAAACTATCTGAACTGAGGTTGCTATGGCTTATAAATTCTTCATAATGACTCTCCATCGACTGGTAATGTATCCACCCAAACACACCTTTCTTTGCACTCTTGTGAACCTCAGTAAGCTCTTTAGGCAGGTGTGGGAAGCTTAATGTATTTCCTGTGAAATTGTACCATTCTCCTTGATCAGCTTATCCCAGCTTTGCAAATTGAAAAAAAAATTTATTCCTGGCACCAACATCCTGTTAAACTGGTTCTGATTAATAATTGAATCTTGAGACCCATTCAAGGCAACATTCACAACAGCAGATTAGTGGGGGAGGGGACAGAGGTGCCAGATTAGCCCCGCGTCATGATGGAACAGACTCATGACCTCAGACGGAGGTTAAATGCAGAGTGCAGATTCCAGGAGAGTTTAATTCTGTAGAAAAATCATGGAAATACACAGAAACTTCTCCCTGGCTGACTGAGGGGCCTAGCATTTATTTCTAGTAATAGACTTTGATTCTTCTTGGACTTGGAGTGTGCAGTGGGTCATATTCTTGTGGTTCATATTAAGCTTTCTTAGATGTTGAATTATTTACAATGGCACTGCAGAATATTTCTTCCTTAATCCTGAGGGAGAAAATACAGTCCTCCTGAAATGTCAGACTGAGAAACAGATAGGCTCCTAGCTTTACAACCCAAGAGCATAGCCCTTGTGGATGATTTCCAGGCATAGAGTGTGTCCAAATGACTCTAGATCTTCATGCCAAATCCTTTAAGCATGTCTATACTTGCTCAACACCAGATTCTCCCAGCCCAGTCTATGACTGAAGGTAATTTCAATCCTATTCTTCTTTCAGCCATTGGAGCAAAAAGAAGGACACCTAAAAGTAAAAGAACAGATTCCTGCTTTTAGATGAGCAGCCATCACATTTTTAAGTAACCTCTAGATTTTCTCGACAGAGAACTTTAGGCTGCCCTAAAATGTTGCATCAGCTATCTGGGGGACTGGTTTAAAATGCTGGAGATGACCCTCTTCCCAGATCTTCAGATTCTGACTCTTTGGGGATTTTTGAGTTAATCCAGAAACTCTTGTGTGGTAAAATTTGAGAACCACTGACCTCCAGACACTTTCATTAATTTCGGTGAATTGTTGTATTCTCAAAACTCAAGGGTCCAACAGTTCTGTTGCATACATAGGAATCTTTAAATCCCTTGCTTAGTAAGGCTAATTTGTGTGTTTTGTAATTCCCAGAGATTGAGAGCAAATGTCTTTCAACATTCATTCTTTCAATAGGCAGGTATTGAGGATACACTATGACCTGGGCACCTGCCCGAGGTTCTGTAAATTAACTGACCTTCACAGCTCTCTGAGCAGTAATACTCTGCATGTTTGGTATATTTAGGAAGACCCCAGTCTGCAAGCCAGGGATGAGAAGGGAATCCTGACAGCAAAGAGACTCCCAACTCCCTTGCATGCTTGTGATTCCGTTGTGTGCCAGGGTCTTTGTCTCTTTTGTCTCATTTCATCCTCATGATGATCTGTGATGGAGGTATGAATATATTGTCCCCGTTTTACAGATAACGATACTATAGCTCAGTGAAGCTATTCAACTAGAAAGCAGTGAAGCAGGGATTCCCTCCCAGCAGCCTGCTTCTAGAATGCAGGCTCTTATTCAACACCATTCCAGCTGTCAGAGAAGTGTTCCTTTCCCTAATAAGGTAGAAAGCAGAAGGTGATGCTATCAGATATGAATATTTTATATTATCATGTGGCCACCTCATTTCTATTCCACTGGTGATTCCTTCTGTATTAAATCCATGAAGCAGGTGTGGATGCCAGGCTCTGGGGATACAAAACAAATAGATGTGTGTTTCAGGAGGCTCCCAATTACCAAGTCACTCAGTCACACAGAAAGTCTAGAATTAGAACTAAGAACCCCCCAAAGTCCTTGAGCAATCTTGAGGCCATTCAGCTGCCCAGCCTGCCTTTCTAAAACTCTCCTAGGAGAAGTAGCTGCACATCCCTCTCATTATTGTGATGTCAAAATTACTCTGCCGGCTGGGCTGTCCTTACTCAAGCAAAACCACTCCTGGGGACAGTAAATTTGGAACCAAATCCTCTTCGTCGTGCCATCTGGAGATTTTTAATATTTTAACAGCTTTCAACGTGTGAAATTCAGTCTTTTTCTTCTTTCTGAATGCTGGTAAAAAATTTCCTGGGCTCCCAATCCTGGCCCCCTCCATACCATCACTAATAAAACTATGCATTAGAACAGCAGAGAGGTTTCTAGCTGAAGGTTCTGCAGGAGAGAAGTAGGGCATGTGGTTTGCCATCATTACCATGTAGCAGCTTCTGTGCTAGGTAGAGTCTAGTTGAAATAAGTTGATAAATTCTATCTGGGTCCCAGGCTACCTCCTGCTATGAAGACTGAAGCCAATCTAGGATATCTATTGTGGGTATGAAAACTGTGTAAAACCCATAGACTTGCCCTGAAAGCTAGCGTTGCAGACCTCTTTCACCCAGACTAATGAATCTGTCAGAATTTTCCTCAGCCCCTTTGACATTACAGACCTTATAGGTACCCCAGTACTCCAGGGGGTTTCCTAGGGGCTTCCCTACAGTCTGTGAGACCTGAGGCAGGCTCAGATCTTACAGCACACCCAACTCACAGGCCTCCCTGCCCCTCCCAGTTTGGTCCCCAAAGCAGAGCTCTCTCCAGAGACCCCCTCCCAAATGTAAATATGGACAGAGAGTATGTCTCGCTCTGCCGGGCTCAGACTTTGTCAGCACCCCAAGCTGCTTCCCTCCACCTTGAGAACCCTCAGTTCAGGATTACCACCCACACCCTGTCTGCTTTCTCCACCTGCATTCCTAGGTAGCCGAGCAGAGCCAGAGAAAGCCCCCAAAGATGGTGTTGTATCTACTGCATCCCCACACAGCTAACCCCTGCTGAGCATTCCTTGCCACCTGGTGCCTCCTTCCTTCATTCCTCGCTGGTCCCTCATGCCTCCCTCCCACAAGAGACTCCAGACCTCTTCCTCTTTGCTCCAGCCTGCAACACATTTCCCCCCTCAGTGGACCCCACCAGTCCCTGTGCCAAGATGAAGCTCATCCAGTGACAACTTCAAATTTCTGCTTGTCCACCTCAAACCTTTTCTTTATTGTCACCCTTTTTTTATTCCTTCATCTCTGGTCTCTTTCCTTTTTCTGACCCAGAGACTACTCCCACGCCCCTTCCCAGCCGCTGGGAGCCACCATTCTGCTTTCTGTCTCTATGATTTTTTTAATCATTTTATTTTATTTTGTTTT